GGTTCTTCGATTTTTACCTTTGTATGAAGTACTACCGTTAGGTTAAAAATTTCCTTGTTTATTGCCGCCGGTTCAAGGTCGATGAAAAATATAGGTAATTTATTTTTTGTGATCTTGTGGATAACATTTGCCACTTGGCGCACTGTATATCCTAATTCCTCGATGGCAAATCCTATTTCAGCCGTTGGTGTTGATGGGTGCAGGTTGCGAATGACAACACGGAAAGATTTTTCTTCACGTGGTTGATATGTGTGGTATTGTGCCTTACGTTCTTTTAGGAAGTGGATAATGGCACGGTAAAATTCTGGTTTAGTTGACTGTATTTTTAAATCATTAGTGGATGATTTAAAGAAGAAGTTGTCAGAACCAACTAGCCTTACAAGTTCATCACGAAAGCTAATAAAGTCAAGTACGCCACGGACAATTATTGGGGGAGGTAAATTTGCTCTAGTTGGTGCTTCACAGTTATCAGTGTTGGAGGGAGCCTGCGGTGGACTGGTGAAAGGATCTATTTGATCGTTAGTGGCAAGAGGAGTAAATCTGTTTGTTGTCGCAAACATAGGCTTTTTATTATCTGTTTCCTGGCCATTGGATTTTGTTGAGGAAAGATGTCGCTTAGCGGTTTTTTTTGGCGTTTCGAAAACATCACATTCGTTTTCAGGTGAGTCGTTGAACACGTCACTAGGCACACTCTGTATATTGAGGTTTCTTGGTAGGTTTTTTTTCTCTATATTCGATGATAGTTTATCTTTAGATTTTGATTGTTTCCTTGAGGATGCCGCGTTCAGAGAAGCCATTGTCGTTATCTGCGTAATTCAAATACGTAAAAGCGATAGCCAGCCTCGGTAATCTACCGACGGCTGCACGCCGGACTTGTAGACGTAGCTATAATAGATAATTAAAAGCTTGATAGTACGTTATAAGAGATATGGAAACTGGAATAATCTAGATAAAAAAAACAGCGATAGCGGAGCAACAGTTTAAACATACGTGCGGACGTAACGATGGTCGACGCCGAACTTCAATAAAGAAATATGAGTATTTTTTTAAATCAAAAACCCGATTAAAAAAAATATTTAGATATATAATTTATGTATATTTTTTATAATTTTTAATAAAATCCAAACACAAATATCCACAAATAGGCGGATCATTATAGTCTTGAAATCTTCTAGATGTTATTTTAAGATTAATTTCTCCTAAATATTTTACTAATTCTTTTGGTGGATTAGCATTACCATAAGAATCAAAATAAATATTTAAATGTTTATGTTTTATCCATGCATCCCAATGTGATCCTTTTTGATCAGAATTATTCAAATTTAATATTCCACATTCATTCGTTAAAGTTTCTGTAGGTAATTCATTTCATAAAACATCCTCAAAAATTTTTAATTTTTTTACCAGCTTTCATGATATTGAAATTAACTAATGGGTTGATTTTCTTTTTTTATCACAGGAGTATTACAATATCTTTTATTCTTATTTCTTCTAAATATAACTTGTAGAGTTTTAAAATTATTGACAATTTTTCCATTTCTTTATTATGTCTTTCTTGTTCTTTTTCCGCTGCTATCTTATGTTTTCTTTTTATTATAGTATTTGAAATCGAACACAGACACAGA